ACCAGCACAAGTCTTGCATTGACCGCCATGTCTCACCAATGTTTTGGTATTATTGCAATTAGCAATAGCCTCAATCGGAGCTTTCAGGGGTGCGCAATGACCCTAGTGTATTTAGACTGCAATAGAGAGTTTGCTTTTAGAATTTTCTTTAGACAACTGCTCTTGTACAATTCTTTACTTCGCATCGTGGTTAAAACGTAAATCCACCTCAGAAAACCACCCAACATGACAATAAAAAGATAAAGCGATTTTACTTCATGTAGTTGAGATTTTAAATGGTAACTTGTAAATCCAGGTTTAGTGAAATGTGTTCAAGATATATCAGCAAAAGTGCTTTGCGTGCTGCTTATTCCTGTCTATATGTACAACAAGTACACCAAGAAACCCAATGCAAGATCAAAAAACAATTCTCTCACCGCCCGTGTGCTAATTGTGCTTGGGACTGTTTCAAAAGAACTTTTAATCCAAGACCCTTGGAGCTGTTTTCTTCCAGATATGTCTCCATATCTTCGCGAAATTTACTCAATTGCTTAGTGACCGGAAGGCCATCTGATCCAGCATTTGCCAAAGGATTAAGAAGTAGGTCAAAAAGATCTCTCCACATATCAACTTGCCAGTATCTCTTAATGCTTGCCTTGACAGAGTACTTCTTGTTACCGATTCCAGGTCCTTTGGATTCTTTGACTGTCTCAATGTACTTGCCAAACAACATGGTATGAATAATAGCTGCAAGGCCGTGATAGTCGACTTGATAGGTCCAGGGTCGCATCTCTCTCATCTCAGCACAATCTTGTTCATCCGTTTCCCAATCCACGATAAACTGAACGTTCGGAACGAAGAGTTTCATATCAATTCCTCGTCCAAAGTCAATCAAAGTCAGACCTTTGGACGACCATCCACCACTGCCATCTCTTCGGAACTGGGAGGACCATTCTTCTGAAAAATCCTTCAGACGAAGAAGACAATTATCAGGTTTCAAATCTCCGTGCAAAATTCCTTTCAAATGAAACGATTCAACTGTTCGAATCAATTCCAACGAGAAGAATATAACTAATAATTCATCCAGAACTCCCCCACCATCAGCCTTGGCAAGATTTACAATATCCAAAACCGTGCCTTGGTCGCAATATTCGAGAAAAAGATATCCTTCATCACGAAATAAGTGCATATCGTAAACCTCAATGATCGACAGTGCAGCTCTTGACACGCCTAGTCTTCGCTTAATCTGATTGATGATATAAAATTCCCATGCAGTTGAAGTTTTTTCCACCTTCACGGCATACAATTTCGATTCAGAAATGTTCCTTGCAAGATAAACTGCTCCATAGGCTCCTTCGCCGAGTTTCGTTTGTAGTGAAAACTGACAAGATCCCAACTCGAGAGTGATTTCGGAAGCATTGCCTTTAGCATTTGTCTTGAAATATTTCTCGAGAACCTCCGATTTATGGAGTGAGTGATCATAAGCGTTATAACCTTGGTATGAATCGATTGAAGGCCACAACGAAGCGAAAATAGTGGATTTGATACCAGGATCAAGCGGATTACATACAGCCTCTGTGATGATGGGTCCTTTTCTTTGTGGTAGAGGCCCAACAACCTTTGACTTTACCAACGTCGAATTCAGATTCGGAGTATCCAGAGTTATGTCGTCATGAAATGGCGAACTAAGCGGACCATCTCGACCGTGGATATCATTTGTACTGATAGCTAACTTTGACATAATTGTGCTGGGGAGATTTTCGGTATTTTCTGTGATTGGAGTCATTAGATCAAATGAGGTGGGGCGTCGATCGTGGTATTGAGGTAAATGAGGAGTTTTGGGTTCTAAAAGATGATTCATTTGGGCTCCTGGGTTGTGTTGTGTCTCTCGAATTGGAAGAAAGCCACTAGATTCGGAAGCTTGAGGAGCTGGAGGCGGGAATTGCTGTTTGATAGGCAAACCCTCTCGTAACTGGGACATGTTATCTGCTCCATAGCGAGTCAAGTCTTCTTCGTCTTCAACCGAACTGTCGTAATCGCTGCGATCACATTTCAGAGGTTGACTAAATATATCAATAATATCGGCCATAGCTTCCTTTGTGTTAATAGTTGGAGAAGCAGCTTTGCGCTTGATGAAGTCACTATTCGAATTTGGAGAGCCTTGGGCATCAGTTCAATCTATCACAAGGTTACTTACTTTTGACTGGAGTTTGCGCTTCTTTGAGTTCCATCATGTAATCCTGAGACTGGGAAGGTTGAGAAAGTTGAAAAGTTGAAATCGGTGAAGATTTCTTTGGGTTCTCTGGCCATTTGACTTGATACAAGCCATGTAATTTAGCGCGGAGTTCTTCATAGGAGTATTCAACACCAGGAGACGGATACATAGCCTCGAGATTAACAACCACAAATTCTGGTCGCTTTCCAGGCTGAGGAGGTGGCCGCAAAGAATTATTTTGCGCCGCCTTGAGAAGAGGAGGAGTTCGATTTGATATAGCTGAAGATGATAGTGCCTTACAGATATTAGCTATGATTTTCGATAAGTGCTTGTACATTTTCATCCTTGAAGACCATAAATCGATCTGATTCTTGAGATTCGGATTTTGTTTTCATCTTTAATTTCTCTCCGGCCCAGGGCTTTGGGTCTTGAACATTTTCTTTTTTCTTACCTTGCAAAGTTCCTATACTTTGCCAGCCACCAGTACTAACGGCATCCTCGGATCCTTTCGCGTCTGAAAATACCTCAATTCGATTAGTCTGCCGGGACTGTTGACTTGAGGATTGTTGAGTGCTACCCATGGGGAGGAATGACGACTGACTACCAAGAACTGGACGAAGTGGGTCTGGAAGAGCAGGATCATTCTCCAAGGAGGAGGGATCTGCGTTGAAGCGATGTTTGAACTCATTATAACGTCGCTGTAGTCGTTCTAACGGCCTCGCACCTCTAGAAATTCCGAGTTTGTAAATATCATCGGCTTGATTCTTCCTAGACTCAATTAGAATACCATCAATAGAAATGCACGAAACCTTCCCATAGACTCGTGAAAAGCCGCGTATTCCTCGTAATACATAGCTAATTCCGCGCCAATTTGGTTTCTGTAAAGAAAAACGAAAATATCCTTTGGTGAATCCGATCTTCGCGCGTATTGCATCCAAAGACGAAGATATCTCGCATCATTATAGTAATGTTTTGAATCCTTGAATTTCGAGGTGCAGCGTTCGAAGAGGTCGTCTAGCCCACTATCCACGCTCTGGCCTTGTGGATAATTGTCAGTAACCCATTTAATGTACTGGATCCATATATCGAGAGGATCGTCGGATTCATCACAATTTGCTATTTCTCGTTCATACGCTTGTTTTGTACTAGCGAGAGAAGTTCTTTGTGTTCGTGGAGAAGCCGAAAATACTTGGGCGAGTGCTTTAGCAGAACGTCCCTCCGGCCTTGGTTGTATGTTTTCTTTCTGATTCTCAAACGTGTCAAACGAGATAAGATTTGGAGTTCCTGGCGGAGTACCTTGATTCATGGATGAGGATTTGGTGGAGACGGAACTGGAATGTCGTAAACAAGCAACACGAAACACGCAGAGTGCACACTCATTCAGTGGTTTGATTAAATATATCACAGTTTATACCCAATTCTTATATGCAAAAAAAGAGATTGAGGATTTGAAGTTGCAATACAAAGCTGGCACTGCTATTCCACCTTTGCGCGCCGCTCCTTTTCCTCTCGGGTTCCCTTCCAGATATCTACTACTCGGCGCAGCTTGGTTTTAGCTTCCTGCGCCTTTTCAAACTCCCGGCTTTGTTTCAGAAATTCTATTCGCTCCAACTCTTGGTCAATTCGCAAGCCAGTCTCGAAAACTCCCACTGTCTTCACAATATTTTCTCGGATCTGAGCCAGAATCTTTAGTCGCTCTAGACTTTCACATTGTGGTTGTTGAAGCGTCTCCAACGATGTGGAAAGCGAAGATGCTGTAGATACCAAGGTTTCGAGATCCGCCGGCAGACGAGGAATTAATGGTACTGAAGAATCGAGAAGTACAGCAAGGTCGTCCTGCGTCTTTCCCTCAAGCAATGTCAATTCACTGAGCAGAGATTGAGCTGAGTGTGGCGTTGTTAACTGTGATGGAAGTGCTAAGGAGATATAGGATATCGGGTCGAATGGAGATTCGAAAGCACTTCTCGATACTTCAGACATCAGCTGCCAATAATGATAGCTCTAAATGATTCCAAGAATGCTTATTTTTATACGGTGTCTGACTGAGTGTTAACAGTAGCCGAGTCGAGGAATGAGTCTGTGTTAACCTAAGTTTCTGTCACGTTTATTTATCATATTACCTACTAACGGGAACATATCCCCAGGAGTCCTTTATATAGTGCCCCTTCTTTCCTTTGAAATTTCTAGGATGATTTCAGTGTTTAATTGGAGTCTATTGTATGAATCAGATACGTCCTAGAATACCATAGGGACAAAAGTAAATTTATCGCTCAGCTCGAACAAGCTCTTTATGCCATAAAAATTAACTCATATGCTCAGAAATTCATGCTGTTTCGAGAATTCAGCTGTAGTTAATCTCTTTTCCCCATCGACCTGTTCTATTGATTGATGAAGTATCTTCTGTAGATCTCGCTTGCAAAGTCTCGTCAAACGTGTTGAAAGAATGAAAACTTGAATCTGACTTCAATACCTGTCAAGGCATCTAGCCAGATAAAGCTCAAGCGTCAAATATTACATTAGATATATACGAGAACCATCTATTCTAAAAATGCAACTTGAAAGCCGATTGATCTTTGTCCTAATCATTATTCTTAGTACACCAAAGGTACCGGATTTGTCAGAATATACTACCCTTCAAAACTATATGTATCCAAATATTTCTTTTTGAGGCTTCAATCATTCAGTAATCTCTTGACATAACTCGAGAACGTTGGTTGTCGAGAACTTCAGTCGTCTTATTATTGATTTTTTTTCTCAGACCTCGAACTGTCTCGCCAATTTTTATCTATTTTGATCGATAAACACAATGGACAGTCGAACAATTGGTATACTAGGTGCATCCACATTTTAATCACCAGCTATACTTAATAATGTAAAGGCGGCGGCCAACTTGGGCGAATGCTTGTCGAAGCTGCTAATCGACTGAATATCAAAACTATCATCCTTGATGCTCCTTTCTCGCCGGCGAAGCAAATCAATTCGCTTCAACATATTGACGGGTCATTCTCAGATCCGTCAGCAATTAAAACGCTTTCCTCGAAATGTCACATCCTTACTACTGAAATTGAACATGTTGATACCCAAATACTTGGAGAGATAGAAAAGGAAGGAAAAGTCGAGGTTCATCCTTCGAGCGAAACGATTAAAATCATTCAAGACAAATTCACTCAAAAAGAACATCTCACCTCAAAAGGGTTGCCGACAACCCAATCAATACCAGTGCAAAGGAGTCGACATGAAATACTGACCGCTGGTGAACAATTGGGATATCCCTGTATGCTGAAGTCGCGAACTTTGTCATATGATGGTCGTGGAAACTTTGTCGTATCGTCGGCGGAATCGGTCACCGAGATTATAAAGACGCTCCCAGATCAACCTCTTTATGTTGAAAAATGGGCAGAGTTTGAGAAGGAACTTGCCGTCGTAGTCATTCGTACAACGCAAGGAAACATAATCTCTTATCCTACCGTCGAGACAATCCACCAAAGCAACATTTGCCACCTGGTCTACGCGCCTGCTCGCGTGATGGAATCAGTCCAAGCGAAAGCTAGAATCATCGCAGAGAAAGCTATCTCTACATTTAATGGAGCCGGAGTATTTGGAGTCGAAATGTTTCTGATGAAGTCGGGTAACCTCTCCTGTACTTGCAATGGATAGCTTACTTCTTCTAGGAGACATTCTGATCAACGAAATTGCCCCTCGGCCGCACAATTCAGGTCATTACACGATTGAAGCCTGCAATACTTCACAGTACGAGGCTCATATTCGAGCTATAACCGGTCTTCCGCTTCCCAAACTTTGTACTGCCATGAAGACTACTTCAATCATGTTGAATATTTTGGGCGGAGAAACACCTGATGAGCATCATCAAATCTGTAGGAAAGCTCTAGAGACGCCAGGTGCTACAGTACATCTCTACGGAAAATTAGAGTCGAGAAAATCGCGCAAGATGGGACATGTTACGATTGTTGGATCTAGTATGTCAGAGTGTGATTATCGACTCGCCAATATTCTTACTTCGAATGCCGACTCAATGACCAATCCTTCTTCTTTGACCTTGTCATTGCCAGTTGTTTCAATCATTATGGGGTCAGATTCTGATTTACCACGAATGCGAAATGCCGCAAATATATTATCAGAATTTGGCATACCATTTGAGATCACGATTGTGTCTGCACATCGGACACCTGATCGAATGTTCCGATATGCCCGAGAAGCGGCTGGACGTGGAATTAAAGTGATCATCGCAGGAGCTGGTGGTGCTGCTCATTTGCCAGGAATGGTTGCTGCGTTGACTACATTGCCAGTTATAGGGGTTCCTGTAGAATTAAAGACTCTTGGTGGAGTAGATTCACTCCATTCCATTGTGCAAATGCCTGTACGTTCTTTTCTTTCATTAAATATGCTCACTTTGGCAGAGAGGGGTGCCGGTTGCGACTGTTGCCATTAACAATAGCACGAATGCTGCTCTTTTGGCGATCAGAATGCTAGGAATCACAGAAAAGTCAATACGAAGAAGATTGTGTGAGTTCGCTCTTGAAAAAGAAGATGAAGTCTTGAAAAAGGCGGAGGCTTTTGAACAAGGAAAATGGCAAATGTGAAACTACTCTCTCTGATCAATTCTGTTTGAAACTCGATTCCAATTCTATTAACTATCGAAAAGCGTTATAACATCACATGCATTATAAACCCCAAAACCCTCAAAGAAAATAATTAAAAGTCTCTCTCACTTCGAAGTCGTAACCAGAAATTCAAGGTAAGACTTATGAGTATCAAAAGGCAGAGCATCGTTGGCCCAAATCGATCGATATAGCCAGTGTCTCTCCGCCTTCTTATGTATATAGCTCGGACTAGGAAACGCGCCGTTGAGTAGATTGATACTACGATCTGGGGTTTTAGCAATGAATTGAGAAAGTAGCGTACAGCAGTTAGAGTGAATGCGGCGCTAGCCAGTAACGACGTCTTGTCCCCAAAGTTCATCAAACTGGTTCCCACTGCACCGATGTAAATGGCTGTTTGCATGTATTCCAACACGGTTCGCTCGTTTGCAAGATAGACCTTGGGTTCGATTCGAACGGGAACAGAAATTTCTGAAAGAGTAAGCATTGACTTAGATGTAACTAGACATGCTTTTTCCGGGAGGTGCTCGAAAGCGTTGAGTGTAGATGGTCCCTAATTCAGGTCCCTCGTCTTCCTCGGACTGAGAAGCTGATAAGGGTCGTTTGGATCTCAACTTTTGGCCAATTATTGCAAGAGCACTGGAAACCTTTTGTAGAAATGTTGAATCCTCATCCTGTATACAACCCAGAGATGATTCTTCATCATCTTCAAATTCAATTGCAGCATCATCGTAGCGATCTTCGACATCATCATCTCGATCATCATGCTGAGATCCAAGGCTACCAGGACATTCATCTTCGTTCAGTGCACGAATCCTATCAAGATACTGGTCATCGTTTTCTGAAGCAGATGCAGAAGCACTTGCTGGTTGTCTTTCAATTCCGAAATGAGGGATCTCTGGCTTTCTAATATCAACGTCCATCTGAGGATACCAGAACGGAAGAAGCTTAACTTTCTCTGGAAGAAGAGCACTTGTTCCATGGATGAATTTTGAAAATTTTGGAACGGCTTCAACCTGCACCATTAGTATCGGATACAACAGACCAAGGAGACCAAATGACTTTGAACTAACTCACGAATCCAAGCAGGAGGCTCTTGGCCAACGTGGGTTTGAAGTTTGACTTCAAGGACAGCGTAAGGGAACCGTTCAACCTCTTCCTCGGGCAAGTGTACAAAAGGCCAGTTAATTCCTACATCTCTTCGTCGCCAATTATCTCTGGCCCTCTCCTTGCCGTCGAAATTGTCTTCCCGAATCATTGTCAATTCAGTGTCGAGACTAATCCGAACTCGAGCATCGCCTGGCAGTTGAAACGCGGTACGATTATAGAATGTTCGAACCACTAGCTATCAACTTGGTGATCGTCGAGTGGCAATACCTGGCTGAAGTTTATCTTTAATGCAAGTATATTGAACCTCTCTTGCGAGCGTCTCGAGTTGCTGAATTTCTTTTAAAGATTTCTTCCCATCTCTTCGAGTTTTCTCGAATAATTGTTCAACGGTTTTAGAACCCTTCAAATATTCATTCACACGCTTTTCCATTAAACTGAATCGTGCCTTTACACTTTTCTCACCCGTCCAATCTTCACGATGCGTTTTCCGTTCGACAAAGATGGTATTCACATCCATTCCTCCATACCATCTCAATCGGATAGCTTCAGCCCCCTCGATTTTTTCAAGTCGTCCAAGATAAAGTTGCAGATCATCATTGTCAAAATATATTGACGAAATCGCCGAGTCAGCGAGATCGAACTCCTTGTTTGGATTGAAGGTGAGAACAGGAAGATGTTGAAGAATAATAAGTTTCAATTCTGTAATGTTGTCAGGATGAACTATCAGTCAGTACTCAATGTGTAAAATATTAGTTGCCCCAATATTTGGTAGTTTGGCGGACAAAGTTTTGTTGTTTTCCTCCAGCAGAGCTATCTCCTTGTATGGGATGTCCTTTATTGCGCACAAGGTCGTATAGTTTTGATAATTTTAGGATTAAAGAGTCGTAATTTTCCTTGTAGAATGGTTTTTCTTGTAGTTTTATCGACCAAGTGTGTTTTAGACGTCTTCCCGTTTGTTTCTATGGTAAGCAAATGAGAGAGATAAGCCGTACATCATGTTTTTTCTGCACGGTTAGCTGGGGTACTTGAAGCTTGACATACCAGGATCTTTTCAAAGGCAGTATAGTTCAGCCGCGTGAATTTTGCTAAATCATGCACATCTGCAATGATATCGAATAAAACTTCTTCCAAATACAAGAAAGCTTCCTTGACTCGCTCAGGCTCATCCAACTCGATGTTTTCAACAACTTCAGACACATCTTTATCAGTTGCCTTCACTCGTTTTGCGATTTCCCCAGATTTGACTTTCTGGAAAGTCCATACTTTGTCGAGTTCCTGGTCCAACCTCTCGATGAAAGCCTTTTCATCTTCGTCACGCCAAGGATGATCTCTCAATCTGTCTTTGAGATCGCGTTTAGCCCCCTGATAGTCGACATATTGGTAGCGGAACTCTTGGATAAGACTTGTTCGTAGGTGATTGGCAAACTTCATGGGAGTCGTGACAGTGAGCGAGGTGCACAGTGCGGGGAACTGTCTTGGACGTGAAGATAGCATTCTTGATGATAACAATATAGATACAGAATAACTACGTGAGTTATGATTATATATATCATTATTGCCACGATGTGTATAAGACATGGGCCAGAACATTCTTGCGGAAGCAGTGTCGCAGACAATACTAGTCGGTTGAATAATGACTCGTGCTCAAATCGTTGGCCCAGATATTCTAGATGAACCCTTTCCAATTGAATTTATCGGTTCGGTAATCAAAGGATTCGGTCGCGGATCGAAAGAATTGGGAATCCCTACAGGTATAGTCTCATCTTACACGTCATATTTAAATCAGCAAATGTATCGCCAAGAGTCATACCACGTGCCCTACAGGAAATGCTGTCGGGTGTTTATTTCGGGTGGGCGAGGGTCATAAACGACCGTAAGGAGGACAGCGAGGTGTTTCCAATGGTGCGTTGGAGTCAAAGTGCGGTATTGACTCGATAGTGCATGAGTTTGGGTTATAATCCCTTTTATAATAATAAAACTAGATCTGCTGTATGCTCCCATGAGCAATCTACAGTTTATTGGCCAGGAAGTGCATATCATGCATAAATTCGAGGACGACTTTTACGGTAAAGAGCTGAGAGCGGTTGTTTTAGGATTCATTCGTACAGAGCAGGATTACCCTGGTTTAGGTGTGTCCTTGAGATCTCAATTGTTGCTGACTGGAAGATGAATTGATACAAGATATTCAAACGGATATCATGGTCACCGAGAGGTCACTAGCTCGAGAAGCATATCAGTCATACAAATATGATGACTTCCTTCTCAAATAGGAGATTACGACCCGATTCAATGATATTCTTTTTTATTTTGCATATGTAGAGCGTATAAATAAATTCAATCATATCTGTATTGACCTTCCCCTTTATATCACCTTCTTCCCTTTCCCTTAGCTTTACCCTTTGAAGAGTCCGATTTTCCAGTCATCACTTTCATCTTGCCAATGCCAACACACATCTCGGCGTCTAAAGCATAAGAAACACATGACCAAAATAAATACCTTTAATAGTTTTTACTAGTTCCAGCTCTGTAAGGCTAGCGGTTTCACTATCTTGTCCAATCGTCATGCTCGCGAAATGTGACAAGAGAGCCTTGACTGCTTTTCCCTTCTTCATACTCCCTGGTATAAGTTTGACCTACAACATTTAGAGGAAATGTGAAATAAGACCTGGGAATACCTTGTACTTGTATTTTCCCATAGCCGCATAAGGACCACAGAGAGGAATAGCACCTAACAATACGTCATCCGGCAAAGGAAAACCAGTGAAATTATCCAAAAGGGTTAAATTCGCTTCCTCTTCTTCATTCAACACTTGGATATTTTCTTCCTTTAACAGTTGTTTCGCCTCTCTATCAATCTTGGGTTTCTTCTTGAATGTGGGATTTTCTTGTGGCACGCTAGTTTGCGTTTGTCTTGCTACTCCAAGAAGTTGCATTCGTAATTGCCGTTCTTCTTCATCTTGATCTGCATATTTCTGGGCTTTTTTCTGCTGGCCTTTCTTCCCGCGAACCTGAGGTTTTCGATGTTCTTTACGTGTTGGACCATTTGATAATCCTGCGCCAGACCGATCCAGTTCCTCTGGAGTGAGTGCTACAGGTATTCCATCTGGATCTGCCTCCGAGATGGGCGTTGAAATCCCACTATCCAAAGGACTAGATGGCAGGACGCCCTGTATTTGAGCCTTCGACATGTCACGACGCTGTCTTGCGGAAATGTGTGGTTTCCCAGAGGTCGAAGGTTGGACTGGTTGCAAGAATGAGGGAAGGGATATCTCGTCTCCATAGTCTGCGAGATCATATTTGTCGTTTGCGGTCATTCCATTCCTTTCATTATCATCTGTTGGCAGGACTGAAGACAATTCTAGAGATGCATCAGTTGTTTTCTGTGATTGTGGGTCGATATTTGCTGATTGCTGTATCGAAGAGTACTCTTTGTCATTGATGTGGGATGCCACAGAATCCTTCTCTCTCTCTTCAGTTCTCTGCTCTCGTTCAAGTCGTCTCTTGAGATGTCTATCTCTACTTGCCTCATCCAAAACCCATAAAATGCCAAAACCCATGACTAAAGGAGCAGGTGCCAAAAAGTTTTTCTTCCCTCGGATCATAAAGGACCCAGTGGTGATATATTCTCCAGTGGGAGCTGTCTTACTTACCTGCTCATGATGAACCCACCATGCCGAAGTAAGAATCTTAGCATCCCAAGCTTTTGAAGTAGCGACACTGAACAGTCCGGCTTGAGATAATGTCCCAGGTGGAATTGGGGCAGTTTGCGATGTGTTTTTAATAATTACGCTAGAAGCGCCCTGAAGGTCTGCATGCACGTAGATGTCTCCTTTGCGAAAATAGCGCTTGTAAAGCAATTCATTTTGTTGAGC